TAAGACTGCTTGCTAACCTGAAAGATAGTTACCACGCCAGCATGGCGAAAAAAGGGTTAAAGCTGCTCGAAACAGCTCCGCAGCAATCCCCCTGCGCGGCCCCGCGCCGCCCGCCGTGCCGCTCGCGCCGCCCGGCCCCGGGGCGGCCCCGCCGCGCCGCGGATCCGGGGAAGCCCCGACATCGGCCGGCCCCGCTCCTGCCTCGCTGCTGCAGCTCCCGCCGAGCCGCCCGGGGCGGACCCTGCCCCGCAACAGATCGGACCGGACACCCGCGGTGCTGCCGCCGCCCCGCCGAGACCCCGACGCTGCTGGCGGCCCCGGCCCCGCCGATCCCGCCTGCACCGTGCTCCTGCTCCTGCACACGGCAACCCCCCGTCCCGCCATGCGGCCGCAGCAGCCACCGCCGCAACCCCTCCGGTCACCGAGACTGCCTCCGAGAAACAGAAGAAAACAACCATTTGGACTCTAATGAAACTAAAATTAACAGCAATAAGTAGTTTGTTTGGTTCTGCAGTAAATTGAAAATTTGTGCCAGTGAAAAACTTGTTTCATCAATAAAACCATTTTTAAATGCTGTCTTATAGGGACACCCTCAGACACTAAGAGAATAGGGTAAATTTAAAATCTATATATCAATAAAGACATATTCATCTTTAGAGAATAAATAAGGTTGGGATGTAGCACTATACCTGATGAGAAACTTGTTTAAACATGTCTTAAAATGGCTCTTTGTGGTCCCTTTGCAAACACGTGTTTCTTCTTCCCAACACCCCCCACAGCAACTGTTATCTCCCATGCAGGAGTGTCCTGAGAAAGGTGTCCCGAGGTGTCCCATTGGTCCTTTGTTTAACCCCTTCCTATTGGCTGTTGACCCCTTACCTGATGGTTTCTTTTGTGTGACCCTGAACTTGTGATTGGTCCCCTTTGACCTTCCTAAACGCCTTATAAACCCCAACCCCACAATAAACTTCCTCTTTCGTCCGTCCCTCCCAGGTGGTCTGTGTGTGCTCCTTGCGGGGTCACCGGGCCACGTGCAGGGGTGGGGGGAAGGGCATTCACCTCGCAGGCAATGGGGCTGGAAGCATAAGGCCTGGAGGTCTCCCCCTATCCCTCAATTCGCCGTAAGAGCTCTTCTTCACTCTCATGACCAGTGACAGGACTTGAGGAAACAGTATGAAGCTGTGTCAGGGGAGCTTTAGGTTATGCACCAGGAAAAGGTTTTTCACCCAAAGGGGGTTGGGCACTGGAACAGGCTCCCCAGGGAAGTGGTCACAGCCCCAAACCTGACAGAGTTCAAGAAGCATTTGGACAATGCTCTCAGGCATCAAGTGTGATTCTTGGGGTGTCCTGTGCAGGGCCAGGAGTTGGATTTGATGATCCTGATGGGTTACTTCCAACTCAGCATGTTCTATGATCCTATGGTAGTGTGTAACTACGGAGGAGCTGTAGCTTCTCACAACTCTGCAGGTCCCTGCTTCTCCCTACTTATGCTGGTAAAGTATATATACACACCAGACCTATTTTCTCTGGCACCCAGATAAAGCAAGCAAGTAGTGAATTATGACACCTAAAAGATACTACAAGGACACAGTGTAGCTCTGCTTTAGCTCGTCTAGCTGAATTCGGAAAAAAACTTTTATTACACGTGATTGCTACAATTTATCATACTTGGTGGAGGGATACACAGACTACAGGGTGAGGGGAATGCACGGAACTTCTTATCACATAGCTACACATTTTTCAAACTATTCAAACTCTTCAAGAACCAAATTGCAACATACTTGTTACCATTAGTTAACTGACCAATATATAGTCAATAAATGGAACTACTATAAACAGTTTATAAACAGTCTTTTAGCCTCAGAATTGCTTCTTGTCTTAGGCATACGTGGCATAGTCTCACTTTGGTGGAGCTAGCAGTTCTTTTTCTCTCACTCAGGCTCCAAGGTCTCTTGCTGAATTCCGTGGTTATCTCTGAGGCTTTTCGCTGAACACCTGCTCCTACAGTGAATCACCCAGGTTTTTTTCCTCCTATCCCAAATTCTGTTGTTTTGATGCCTCATAGACAGAAGTTTGGAGAGCAGAATCTTTCTGCATTTTGTAATCTACACAGTGGAGAATACTGCCAATGCTCAAGAAATCATAGGAGTTAGTGACTCACCTTTGCCTTAAGCTTATGAAAATAAGTATTAATGTTTGTCAGGAGTGGCCAATTAATTTTGTTTTCATTTATTGCATTTGATCCATCACTTTTTTTGTTAGATTCTAAAACCAGTTTGTGGGGGTTTTTTATCTCTTCAGTACTTACCTTAATATGTTTTGATTCATGCTTGCAAGCACTGCTTACAAGACAGTCACTGCAGTTTTGTTGAACATTTGCTAATACATTAGATGCCTGGTTCCCCTTACAGTATTCTTCTGCTCCTGTAGGTGCATTTGCAGATTAAAGCTCTCTATGTGAATTCAATTAAGTTCAACAAAATATAGACTCCATGTTAAATGAGAAGATTAATGGTTACAAAGAGTGTTTGAGGGCTCTCAGTCTTCTCAGCACGGTTGTCTTCCTCTCATGTCTGTGATGGAAGTAATTAATCACAAGTAATTATTTTTGACCCAATTGGTCAATTATTTGAAGGTGGTGGGGCAGGTCTGGTCAAACCAGACCAAGAAGCACAGCACCTATGATTCACCTGAGCAATATGGGGGGTCTCAGGGGTATGGAGGACAGGGTGTCTCACCATGGTGAGTGCTCACAGCCTGTCTGTACTGCAGTGGGACAGCATGTGATGGATTCAGGCTTGCTGGTGGGCAGCTGCCACGGCTGCCAGGAGCAATGGAGCAAGGAAGGCCCATGTGTGTGGAGATCAGCCCTGCTGGACACACCCCTCGAGTCTTCCTGCATTGGTCCCATCTCAAGTGCACTAGTTCTGTCTCATTGCAGACTGTCCTTTTAGGGATACAAGAGGGAGCAGGAGGGGAAGGCTGTACTGGTGAATGGAGGGGGAAATCTGCAGTGTTTGACAGAACCTCACATCCTCCTGGGGGGCCCTGGGGAGCTTACAGGGACCTGTGTTCTTGAGGCCAGGCAGTGTGACTGAGCAGGGTAGAAAGGAAGCAACCCTCAGAAGATCCTCATGCCACAGATGCAAGACAGGTAACTTGTCTCATTAAAAAAAAAAAAAAAAAAAGAAATTCAGTAAAGTAGCATAAGAAGGGGTTTCAAGTGATGTGGAAGGTAAGCAGGTGGCAGACTGTCTCTGCACATGCCCCCCCTGCCCAGTCCAACAGCAGGACAAGGCTCTGCTGATCAATAGTTAATCTCCAGAATAAACCAGGCTTGCTCCAGAAGTAAATTTAAAATAAACACAAGTCTCGCTTATCCTTAATGTCATGGTCTACTTGAGAAGGAGAAAGATCTCAAAACCCATGACTGGCATTAGGGCATGATTTAAACTGCAAAGCAGTGAACAAGAGGGTAAAGGGATTGCTCTCCCTCCTCCCTTTTCCCAAAGCTGGTTACCAGAGACCTTCACACCAAAACCAGTCAGTAAAATGCAAAAAACAGGGAGCAACCATCCAAGATGTCTGGGAAATTTCTCAAGTAACACTGAGCATCCTGATGAGGAACGTACATGCTACTCTCTTCTGTACCACAGATGGTCAGGTGGGCTGTTAGTGTCCCAGCATTGCTGCCTGCCCAGCACCCCTCATCTGAAAGAAGCAGGCAAAGACATCTACAACAAAAGCAGATTGATTTCCCTTCTCTGTGCTTAGGCAGATGTCTGATTCTTTGGCACTATTTGTGTCATGCTTTCGTGTCCACAGTCATATCCTGGTCCTTCTAATTGAGGTCTCCCCTGTGAACTCTCTTCTTGCCCATGAAGAAGATCAGGGCTTTGGGGGTCTTGCCAATAGATATGGATCTGCTGTCACTGCCTTTGCTTCTGATATCCATCACTTTGTCTTCATCCACCAGCAGGTTATCACAAATCACTTTTTGCCAGCTACAGTGATTCCAGTTAGCAGGAATATTTTCTGATCCTGGCTTGTGATCAAGCCCACTTCTTGAGACAAGACAGCTGCGAGGACCACTCCTGGCTTAGCTGCCCACACACCTCTTGTCAGAGAGGCCCACAACAGCCACATCTCCATGATTCCTGTCCGCCAAGATGCTCTTGATGTAGTACGTAAATGCAGGATGGCTGAGCTGTCTGCATCTTTCAGAAATGCCCAACACAAAGCTTCCCCACTTTCCACCTGCTGGGCCTTTAGTCTCAGCACACTGATTTCAATCTGGGAGTTTGGTCTCCAGATCCTGGCAAGCCTGATTGAGGGAGCTGGGGTAAAACAGCAGCCAAGGCTCTTGCTTTGCCTATGAGGAGAGGCATGTGGTGACAGCAGCGTTCTCCACTCCAGCCTGTATTTTATGTCATATTTGCCTTGTAGCTGGGTATCCCACAAAATCACTTCCCTGCGACCCTGCCAACGGGAGGGAAGCTCTTGGAGAGGGTCTCACGAGTTTAGTACCAAGCAGCTGGGGCAGTGGTGAATATATCCCAAAGCAGCCGAACGCCTCGGGACATCCCTTCCACATCAGATGCCCACCACATCAGGCTGCTCGTCGCACCAGTTCTTCGCCTCCGTCCGTCCACCCGTTCCCCGCTTCTCCGAGTCAAACCAAACGCGCCGATTTGACGCGCTCGGTGCTTTTCCACACAGCCTGTACTTTTCCTGTAGCACTGCTTCTAATAAAAGCCCGGATATCAGAAGAAACGCATCCACTGCCGGCGCTTTGCCGAGCCGGACGCTCAGCCCTTTATTTTCCGCGCTGTGACCGCCCTCCTCCTCTCAGCGAAGGTCGCGGCCCCGCTGCCCCCTCAGCGCGGGGCCGGTGCCAGCCCCGTCGCGCCAGGCGGGGCCGGGGGCGGCCGCAGGGGGCGGTGCGGGGCCGCTCCGGGGCCGCTCCGCCCACGGCCCTTTCGGTCGCGGCGGGGCCGCGGCGAGGCCCAGTCGCCATGAGCGGCCTGCGGGGCTCCCTGGGGCCGGCCCGGCCGGGCTGGGTGTGGGGGGCGGCGGCGGCGCTGCTGGCGCTGGGCGCCCTGCTCGGAGCCTGGCGCTGGGCCGGGCGGCGCCGCCGCCGCCGCCTGCAGCGGGTCGGGACGGTGCTGAGGCTCTTCGTGTACCCGGTGAAGTCGTGCAAGGGGGTGTCGGTGCGGCGGGCGCAGGTGACGCCCATGGGGCTGCGCAGCGGGGACATGCGGGACAGGTACGGCGGGACGGGGCGCCGGGTTCCCCGTTTGTCGGGTGCTTTCCTCGGGACGTGGGGAGAGGCACCTGCTGCTCCGCGGGTGCCGCCGTGCCCACCATTAACGCCGTCGGACGCGTTTCTGTCCCCCGGCCCGCCGCAGGTTCTGGCTGGTGATCACGGAGGATGGACACATGGTCACGGCTCGCCAGGAGCCGCGGCTCGTCCTCGTTTCTGTCGGCTGTGACAACGGGCACTTGACCTTCGAGGCCCCAGACATGGAAAAGCTGTGCTTGCCTGTGAATGTCCCCAGGAAAAACCCCGTCCACAACTGCAGGTACTGAAAAAGGTATTTTTGGCCCCCTCCCCTCTCTCTAAATACAGTCTTTCTCATACACTGTGCTTTTCAAGATTATGTGAGGCTTTGCATTTTCTAATGCAGAAACTGGAGGGTGAAAGTTGGCTGCTTTTGCATCTTTTCTGTAGGGGTGTGTCTCCCCATCTGGATAATGGAGAGAGACTTCAGACCGGGGCCTGTACCGACAAGATAAGGGGTAGTGGTGTTGAAATAAAAGAGAGTAGATTTAGATTAGATAAAAGGAAGATGTTTTTTGCAGTGAGGCTAGTGTGGCACTGGAACATGTTGTCCAGAGAAAATGTGGCTGCCCCATCCCTGGCAGTGTTCAAGCCCAGGCTGGATGTGGCTCTGAGCAACCTGGTCTAGTGGGAGTTGTCCGTGCCCATGCCAAGGAGGTTGTCCTAGGTGATCTTTAAAGGTTCCTTCTAATCCAAACTGTTCTGTGATTCTGTGAAATTCTCTCCTGTGTGTTACACAGGAGAGCCAGGATTGATTTGGTTTTAATCTGATAAACACTAGTGAAAACAAATCTTAGGAAATGATGACACAGTATCAAAGACCATGCATTTTACATTAGCCAAATGAACTGTGAACTTGCATCTTCATAGAATGTTATGTTTGCTCATTTGTTTTCACTTCTGGTGTTTTCACTTATGCTTGGGTGAGCAGTTGCATCTCAGAGCCTCAGTCATGCCCTTTGGTATTTCTTGATCACAGCTAAAATCTGCATCAGCATTTTTGGATGCACGCTGGCCATTCAGAGCTGGTGAGATGTCGGAGTTTAGATTCCCTCACCCCTGTCTGTAGGCATTTAATTGAGGTGCCTCTTTTAAAAACTTGGTTGCCCAAGGCTCACCCTGTGGTCACAGGAAAGGCAGGCATCCCTGGAGACCTGTAGTTGCTACCTCAAAGGAGTTTCAGGTGGATGGGTTACAAAGAGTGATTTAGCTGTGTGCTTAGGGTTTTGTTGTATGATTCCAAGCCTAATTGTTTTATCTGTGTATTGAAATCCATGCTGGAAAACTACCAGGGGGAGCTGGAAAATCTTTTCTCTGCTACAATGTCAATTAATATGTAAGAGTATTTAATAACTGTAAATGGTGTTACAAAGATACCGGTCAGTGTTTGTCCTTTGGATAGCGGAGATGGTTAATGCACCAGCTGCTATAATTAAAACTAAAAGTGCTGACAAGGAGCTGCACTTGCTTGCTTTTAGCATAAATCTGTTGCTGTGGAAACGCTTGATCAGCAAAGCTCAGTATCTCTGTTTATACAAGGCAGGAGCAAGTTACAAATGGTAGAGAAATGGAACAGTCTTTTAAAAAGGTGTGTGCATTGCCTATATGTGCCAATGACGCATGCACTACAAAACCATGCAGTTTTCAAGGTGCTATTTTTCTAAACTTTGTTGTGCTGTTAGAAAAGTATTTAAATAGCCTAATAGATTTCAGTAATTAAAAATTATCTTGGATTTTCCAATTTTAGAGCTTGGTGATTTGTTCTTCTGATTTTTTTTCTTCTTTCTTTGCCTTAATAAACCTGCACTCTCTGCCTTTAAAACTGCTAGAATTTAAGGATCCAAATGATCAAAAGTTAAATGCATGTAAACGGACTTTAAGAATTACGAAGTTGTCTGGCATTGTAGGTGGTGTCATAGGATGTGAAATTAGCAACACCCATAGTTGGAACATTGCCTTGTACTTCTCAGGAAGGATCCTAAGGGTTTGTATGACTCTTGCTGTGCTTAAACAATTTGCCATTTGTCAGCTCAAGGGTGACTCTTTCCAATCCATCTGTAAGAACGAGGTTTGGGAGTAATACTGTGTTCAGAGAAATGAAGATTTGGGTTTTGCTCCCAGATTCTTTCCTTCCAGCATGTGAGTGTGAGTAGCTGTCTTGCTGCACAGTGTACTCTGCTGGCCCTGCACAGACTTGTGTGTATTCCACCTCTGGGCCAGCACGATGCCTTCACATGGGTGCTGGCTCGTGCCCCATGGTTTGGAGCCAAGGCAGTGCAATAGTGCCCCTAGTTGCATAGGGCTGTGCAGATACCAGTCTTGAAATCTGCTAACTCCAGTTGCAAATTTCATGTGGATAATTAAAATCCTGTCTTTGGGAGAGTCAAATGCAAGACTGAAGCCAGTGCATAGGCACATCTTCTTTTGTGCAAATGTTAGAGGGTTTCTATAGCACTCTGGTTAACAAACCTTGTGCTCTTCATTTGTGCCCAATGTCTCTAACACTTCAGTTGCATGATCCATTCCTATGGGACCCCTAAACCACTGAGTGCTTAGGATAGATCTGCTTTGTGACTGGAAAACAGTAGTGTTGGAAGCTGTAAGATCCTCATGTCTGTTGACCTGCCAGTCAGAAGGCACACAGGGACTGCGGAATGGAGGGAAGAGAAAGATTGCTGTCTGGGGCAACGGCGTTTAATCCCAGCCTGTGTTGCGGAGTAGATACAGGAATCCCAGCAAATGGAGCAGGGATATTGCTGCTTGCACCCTAATGGTTCGTCTCTCCCCCGATGAGTAGAGGAGGGCTCCTAGGGGCTAACTCTGGATTAACTGTGTGGGCATCTCTGTGCTTTAAGCTGTCCAGGGTATGATTGCTGAGGTATAGGAAACTGCAGTGTGTTTGGGTCAAAATGGCTGCTTTGAAGAATGTAATAAAACTATTAATGACTGTTGTTGAAGTTTATTGAAAGGTTGAGTTGAGGTCTGCCTTTTCTTGCCAGGAAAGTGTTCCTTGTGTAAACTTGTTTGTATTTTGGTGCCATTGGCCTTTTGTGCGCCATGGACTTTGTTTCCATTATAAATTTTTAACCTCTCATAAGATACTGATCTATTTTATATGTGAAGTTTTAGCTTAAGTTTTGCTCAACTCTAGCTAAATTTTAACAGCACTAAAATCTGAAAGAAAGTTTCCATCACAATTAGGGACACTTACAATAAATAACACTTGTACATCAGTTACGGCAACTAATCATGTCCTTTCAAGCTATCGTTTATTTTCTAAGTTAATTACCTTTCAGTTGATTTCTTGGTAGAAATCCTTTGGTGTTGCAGTCACATGGAAATGCAAGAGTAGACCTGGCAAACAGGTGGGTTTGTTACTGGCCATTGATGTGACAGTCAGCTCTGGGCACCTTAAGGCTATTTCAAGGCTTATTTCACCAGCTGGTATTGTCCAGCCATGTCCATGTTACTTAGCTTTCCAAAACATGGTGGCCACAAGGAGATTGAACACTGGGATTGATCCTTGTGCCAGATTTTGAAACCAACCTCCAACTTGTTATAATTCAGGGGATTTGTTTTCTGTATATTGCTTCTACTATTAAAACATGTTGTTTGCCTTCTAATAATAAGCATCATTGAGCCTTCATCTTTCCAGCTAACTTGCTGATGTGTTGTTACTCTTCAGGGTGTTTGGACAGGATATCCAAGGCAGGGACTGTGGTGATGAAGTGGCTCAGTGGATCACCACTTTCCTGAAATCACAACCCTATCGACTGGTGCACTTTGAGCCCTCCATGGTGCCAAGAAAGTCAAAGAATACAATAAACCTTTTCCGAAGCACTGATGAGGTAAATAAATGTTCTTTTTCTCAGAAGTACTTCCTTTTAACCACTTCCCACCCACCCACCAAAACTTGCCTGTTCCACCATTGGTGATTGAGCCCAGTTTAGCAAGGTGTGTAATCATATACTTGAACCATGTGAGTATTCTCTTTTTCTGTGGTGAGGTGACTTGCTTAAATTTTACTTCTAAGCTGTTGACCATTTGCAGCAAAAGAGTCTGAAACTCATATTTGAAGAGGAACCTTTCGTGTCTCAGTGAATAGAAAAAAAGTTACATTTTTAAAGATGTTTCCATGGTGTAATCTATGTTGCATAGAAAGCCTCCATTCCCTTATTAGGTCTGAGAGTGTACTGATGCAAGTTGTTACTTCATATTTTGTTTAAAGGAATGATACTTAACCCAGGGCCTTATAGCTGTGGGCCTAGGAGTTAAAATCCAAAGAAGGTTACAGAAGTTTCATCTCTTTCTGTGGGAAGAGGCTCGAAGGTGTGATATTAGAGAAATTTAATGCAGGTATGGGAAGGAGGTGTTGTGCTCGGATATCCTCATGTCATTTGAGTCACTGATGCCCTTCTTTTTGTTTGAACAACTCTCTCAAGTGAAGGTGATTTGAAGTGTCCCTGATGAGTGTAAGGTTTTTAAACAAATTAAAATTGTGAGTACCTTGTCTTACTGATGTTATTATTTGTATGGCTTCAGTGTCTTGCTTGTTGTTGCACAAAGAGGAGAAGGTATATTCGATTACGGATTTATAGATATGCTTTTTATTATGTAAAGGCACTGAGATCAGTACAGAAGACTAGGTTTCAGCAAAAGGGATGTGAGATTAGGAGGGGTGACATGCAGGAATCCTAGCATGAAAAAAGGGCAGAATTTTTGTATAATTATTTTAGCAGTTGTCATATGATGGTTGAAAGGCATGTACAAGGATAGGAGGAAGAATAATATAAAAGAAAGACAGGAGTGCTATACACTAGAATTCTTGCCAAAAATTATCTTTTTTGTTTTGTTTTGTTTTGTTTTCCTGTGGAAGTCCACTTTTAGGATTTTTGTGAGTTTTTTTTGAATACTCTTCTTTGGCCCTGTTTGCTAATATGGCAGCCCTTCCTGTCAAGCAAATTTAGACTGACAAATGGACAGTTGTAATTGAGTATTGCTGTTCTGGGTGTGGAACTCCCTCCTGAGGTTGTGATAAGGCAGATTCATTAGTTAGAAAAATCCAGTTAGTTCATTATAGTCAACTGGATCAGTTCAGCAGGTCTATAAATGTCTTGAGTATCTTTCATAACTCACCATAACATGTTTTACTGAAATGCTTGATTCTGCCTGTAACACCTGGAATAAGCATCTGGGACATGCATATGGTATTACTTTGTAAGGAGTTGTGGTAGCTTATATAATTTTGGTTTAATTCTGTAGGGAGAAGTTTAATTTTACAATTTGAGCAAATGAAACTCACCACAGTTACTGAAATAGGAAAGAGCATGTTGTTTCCCTTGTTAACCTAATTCCAGGAAAATGAAAACCTGAATGGAGCAGCCTAACAGGCTAATATGTGGCCACTGGTTCCAACACACCTGTCCTTTTGCTATTCCATAACTTTTCTCCTGTGCTTTTACATCAACCTTAGGATTTTTTTGTGTTTGTTTGTGTAGGTTGCCTATCCTGACTGCAGCCCAGTCTTGCTCCTCTCTGAAGCTTCAATGGATGATTTAAATACAAGGCTGGAAAAGAAAGCTAAGATACAGAACTTCAGACCAAATATTCTTGTGGCAGATTGCAGTGCTTTTGAGGAGGTAAAATTACTGTCTTAAATGTCTTTTGAAGACTTGGTTATGTTTCTTTGTAGCTCAGTTTCCTTGTATGGTGGTGCTCTGAAGGCGAAGAAAGCTGCTATTTGTGACTTTTACAACTGAATTCCAGAGAGATAAAACTTCTGCTCACATCAGTGCACATGAAACATCGAGGGAGGAGGCAGGTCTGTGAACTATTATTTAGCTTAGCAAAGGATAAAATAAATGTGTTTAAATGACAGGCTTGCCACTGAGAGTTCATCTTTAGGTGTAAAGTAGGCAAAGCTCTGCATAGTGTAATCGATCAATTAATGATACAAATGAACAATTTGTAAATTGTCGGTGTCATATTTTTTAAATAGCCTTTGGCACGAGAGTAGAACTAACCCTTGCAATACTGCAGTCCATCACTACATCTCTGACAATGTTCTGGTAGTTCAAAAAAGCACTATTTAGGAAGGTATCAGGTGATGAAATGAACTGGTAATGGTGGCATTTATGTGTTTTTCTGTCATGTTGCCATTTTTTAAAAAAATTTCCTCTGGATAGATCTGATAATTTCTCAAATCTAAAAAGTTCCTGAAGTGGGAATAGATCTCTGTCTTTCAAGAGGAGGAATAGGAAGCTTGTGTAGATGAGAAGCGAAAAGTTACTTCCACTGAAAATTTCCTTTCTGCAGAAATGGTGATTTGCCAGAGGCCACAGATCAGATTATCACCCACACAGTAAGAATAAACTTGGTTTAGGTTCAGTGCTTCAGAGAAGGGCACATTGCAGAACGAGATTCATTATTTGTGTATCGTTCTTTTCAGATATAATTATTAGTTGGTCCTGAATTGGGATAAATACCCTGAAATGGGATAAATGCAGTGACCATAAAGTTTTCATTAAAATAGTGCTGTAATATAACTGCATATTTTGAAGGTACAAGTAAAGGTGAGCATCTCAAATGATGCAGCTTTATGAATGATTGTGCTGCTCCTGGAAAAGTGATTGCATGTGGGCGTGTCTAACCTGTGCCCAATGTTTACCTTTCCTCAGGACACGTGGGAGGATATTCTTATTGGTGATGTGGAGATGAAAGGGACCGTGTGTTGTGGCAGGTAAATGTTTGAGACCTTTAGTTTATACAGATGCAAAGAGGTTTATGATAAGAAGCTGTTACTGATTTTGCACTGTGTGTCTTTGCAGGTGTATTTTAACAACTGTTAACCCAGACACTGGAGTCATAGACAGGAAGGAGCCTTTGGAGACATTGAAAAGGTTATAAAAATAGCAGTGTTTCTTAGGTTGTGGGAGAGGATTTAGGCTAGGTCCCAACATGTTAGACTAGTACTTTAGAACTGATTTGAAGTGTGTGTGGGACAGAATCATGCAGTGTAAGGGTCTGTGTATATTGGCTTCCAGTCTACTTTTTGCAGTATGCTAAGAAAATTCAAGTTCTCTCTTCCTTCTTGCAAACTTTACATTTCATATCTCTTCCGTCTCTGCTAGGGTGAATGCTTGGGGTAACAGGTATTTAAGATATTTAAAGATCTAACTTTGCTATGTTGACTTTTATTTTTACAAAAATTTTTGTATATATATTAGACATAGATGCATGAATACAGTCAAGCTTTTTTTTTTCCTCCATTTGAACTGTTTGATTCTTGTAACTACAATATTTATTTAGTTTTTAGTCTAGTATGGTGACCAAAACAGGGCTTCATTGTTCATATCCTCTCTTTCATCACTGATATTTTGATGTTTAGGTTTTGCTATCACTGATTCTAAAGAAGGGCTTTCTCTCTGCAGTTACCGCCTTTGCGATCCATCCGAGCGACACATCTACAAAACCAGCCCTCTCTTTGGGAAATACTTTGCTGTTGACAAAACTGGAACGATTCAAGTTGGAGACCCTGTGTACAAGATGATCTGGGAATGAAAGAGACTTTGATCAGAAGATGCTTTTTCACCTTGTACACAAATTGTTTTCCCATGAACACAGTCACCAACATAACCTTTTCTTATTCCTTGCAATATTTTTAGTGCCATGTCCCTTTGTAAGGTGCAGGGGGGTCTATGAGGCTATGAAATGCCAGTCATTTCAGATCATGTAATCTACTAGCATTCCTGTAGCAACCACATCTTTAGTTTTTCTGGAGGCTGTGAGAGAAGAAACTGATCCAAGACATACTTCACAGCACTACTGTGAGCATCACACCTCCTAAAATTTCATGTCAACCTTAATATCGGAATCTGAAATTACATACAAGGGTTTTCATCGTGTATTAGATACATTTAGTGCCTATAAAGAACCACAAAAACAGTCATGCCAAGCACAAAGTATGTTGGTCACAGAGCTGCCTTTACAAGTGAACATGGAGTGGAAATGGCAGGACTCTGTCTTGGATTCCACCCTTCTTTGGTCCTAATCATCTTACCCATCTGTAGGAATCTGATAATTATATTTTCTACTGCATAAAACAAATAGAGCAGGAAAGTATTTGGATTATGGCAGTGTTATCTTTTCTTTAATTGTTATGTGATTTTTTTCTTTTAAAAAGGAACTCCAAGATAAAAACCAGCCATCTTTCAAATGCTTGTTACTTGTTTCAAAAGCTTGTTCCTTTGTTATGAATTACTAGATCTAGAAAGAGTGTTCCTCTAGCCAAAAGGAGGAATCTAATTAAGTGTGGAGAAGGGCAAATATGACCCAATTTGGTGTTTAGATTCTTTCTTTTCTGTTGTAAGTATGAACCTGAAATTTTAATGCATGTTCACAACTTAGACCTGAAAAATGAAGAGCCGTTGGGCTTTGAACAAGTTCAAGTGGATGTGTGTGACAAGCCTGAAGCAGAAATATAGGGAAGGTATTATTTGTGAACTCAGAGTTGCTCTGAGTGTCATTTCTTTAGCAGAGTGCTGGGTAAGGATTTAGTTTTCCTGGGACAGACAAGTGCCCCATTTGGACTGCACATTGCATATTTGTGTAGTGTTATGCCTCATGCAGCAAACAGTGAGATATGAGAGAAGAAGCATCTTTTGAAAACAAAGAATTCTGAGGGTCACTTTTAAAAAGCACATGTTGGAGGTTCTTAATGTTAGAAGCTGAAAACTTGTGGAATTCCTAATGGTATTATTAAGCACAGGCAGCCTGCTGGCCTGCCAAAGCAATTAGTTAAGTGTGTGTCTCTTCGTTAAGTCAAAGAAGCGGAAGGAAAGAGAGCTGATTTTTTGCCTCTAGCAAAACGTATTTTTTTAGCAGCACATCAGCATTTACATAACAAATTGTGTGATATAGATTCTGTTGCCTCTTGTTAGGCTGTTGTCAATTGGGCTAATTTGGAAATGGGGCTGTCTTTGCAATGAGAAACAGCCATCTGCTTTCTTACTAAGAAGAGGTCTTAGATCTAACCCCCTGATTTACTCCTGTAAAACCTCTTAGAGGAATATTTCTAGAATCCTAGAAAACTATTTAGGAAATTGACTGAAAACATGTCAATCATAAACCACTGTTTTTAAATTGTGTACTTAAAAAGTTAGTTCTTTTTTTAACTCTAGAAGAAGAAAACAAAAGTATAAACTTTTGTTAAATCAAACTCTCATAAGGTGTAGCATTTGTGAATCTTTCTTTCCTTTTCCTTTTTTCTCTCTTTTCTGTGTCCAGGTTCTCACATATAGTTAATACTGATTATTTGTTTTTTTAATCCTACCTCTAAGTTCAAGAATACATGCAGTTAACCAGAGGATGTGCGTAAGAGAACAGAACCATCAGATAATAAGTTGGTATCAGACTCAATTTTACAACCCTTATGACAAAGATGTTTACAGACTAAATCATTTTTTACAAATATATGAAAATAGGAAAAAATGGGTTTGGAAGTAGGAAAGTTTAGTACACTGAAGTCAATGCAAGGTCATGCTTCCTATTTCGTGTCTCGTAGGATAAAACCAAAACTTTTTTTTTACAGGACTTATTACACCAATAATTCTCGCAGAAGGCCATGTAAGAGAAAGACAGTCATTGCAGGCAGAAATTTCTGGGTTGCTTAAGATTTAAGGTGGGTGTGTTTTCAGCCAAATCTACCTGACCCCCAAAAGCCCAAGAAAGATCATGCTTCTGCTTCTTAAGGAGGAGAACAGCCTTCCAAAGGCATCACTCTGCTGCTCTATAAGAAGTAAAGAGATTCCTGGTCCTTGCCTCTACAAATGGCAAAAGTTTCAAAAAGGGCTGCCACAGGGTGTTAATTTCTGGTCTATCCCAGCACCTTAAATTGCCTTTTCCTCATTCAAGATCCATGAGAAATTCCCTGTGCTGGATAGCTACGGGGCTGAGGTCTACACATACGAAGTCTTTGTTTCTTTTGGACAGAAGATTCTTAATGCAGGCATAAAGCCCACATGTGTATCAGTCTTCGGTCGAAAGAGAGGCAGCATTCATACTCAGAAAGGTTCATACTTTTAAATAATCTACGTTGTGTTAATGCTAACAATCTCAATTTAGAGAGTCACGATTACTAGTTACTATTTTTGCATTTTACCTGTGTGGCTGCCTGTTCTGAAGGCATTTCGGTGCAGACAGATTGAGAATGAGCCTTTAGTTACCAAGTAGCCTCAATTTCCAGTATTCAGCCATAGCCTGGCTTGAGGAATGCCACTCTCCTCAGTGGACCACAGCTCGTCACACTGGCTGCAGGAAATCACAGAATTAGAATGGGTAAGGTTGGAAAGGACCACAGTGGGTCATCTGGTCCAACCTGCCTGCTCAAGCAGAGTCTCCCAGAGCACATGGCACAGGATTGTGTCCAGATGTTTCTTGAATATCTCCAGTGAGACAGACTCCACAACCTCTCTGGGCAACATGTTTCAGTGCATGGTCACTTGCATAGTAAAGAAGTTATTGCTCATATTCAGGTGGAACTTCCTGTGTATCAGTTTCTGCCCGTTGCCTCTTGTCCTATTGGTTGGTACCACCAAGAAGAGCCTGGCTCCATCCCCTTTTGGGGATACTTACTGCAAGTATCAGGAGTACTTTCGGATACTTACTGATAAAATCAACTTACAAGTAACTGTAGCCTGAGTTAAACAGCAGGTAGAGGTAGAGATTACCTTCCACCTGTGAAGACCAAAGACATGGAGTAGCTTGTGGTACATCACTGTGAAGAGTTTGGGTGGGAACCTCTAATTTTCTGGAACTATGTAAAGAAAAAGTATCTCCCCTTTGCCCCTGGACCATTATGCACAAAGCATCTAACTGGCTGAAACTTCACTTTCCTCCAGGAGCAATATTGTAGAGAATTGTATCTTCTCTAGTGTACAAAATTGCTCTGACAGCTTATCACTGCTTGTTTAACAGCTGACTGTTCTCACTTTCTTTAGGCGCTAGATAATAAGCACAGTGAAACAATTATTGTGCTCCATTGATGTGCTAACCCTCAAAGCCTCTTTGCTGTTGAGTTCCAAAAAACAGCTTCATTCACTCTTAATTGAGGTTTGTCTTCCAGAGCTTCTGAAGGATGATGATTCTTCAATCATAGCAGCCACAATTATATTCACTGAGTCATGGACAGTTATTTTCAACAGACCTACCTATAATGCTTTGGAATAAGTTAAATGTGATGGCTAAATCTCTTCATTTTATCAAAATTTTGTGCATAGAAGTGTAGGACTGGAAAAGAAAACAAAACAAAACTGCTGGATCAGAGTACAGTCTTCTCTAGCTGCAGAAAACAAAGCAATAGACATTAATTTCAGGATTGGAGAATACCTCCTTCATCTCTCTCCACATACCAAGGCCCACAGGGCCAACTTCCTGTCAAGCTTTAAAAACTTTAAAATTTTAGTAAAAGATAAAAAGCCACAGTGATAGTTGGACTACAAGAAGATCATAAGAGAGATCAAGAGTATCACCAGTGTCTTAGATACTTTCAAAGATAAAGACTGAACTCGAAAAATAATCTTCCACTGTGTTTACAGTTGTGGGGTTTGGTGGTCCATATTAATTCTCCATTCCTTGGGTTTATTTAAGGTAAAGCAGAATGTCAACCTCTTTTCAGTTACCTCAAGAAACAGATAACATGAAGTTTCATTTCCCTCAGGTCTCCTTTAATTCTGTTTAATAGACCTAAAGCTGTCCAACAATGGTTTGCCGTATCCTGGGCTGCATCATTTTTAGCAGAACTCTCTTCCAGCTCATGTTCATGAGCTCAAAAATGTAAGTCACAGACACCCTAACTGAGGATGCAGGTTGCTCTGTAATTAATCCTGGAAGGGGCACCAGGAAGCCAAATAGAATCCATCAATCTAAATTTAGTTGTTAAAAGTCTGGAAAAATACCTCATACTTTTAGAGTTCCATGAGAATTATCTGGTCAGCCCTGGAAGTAGTTTTAGGAAAAGGCTGAGTTTACTTGAAATGCAACTCAAACACACTTGAATCCTTCAACAGCCACTTCAAAATAGAGAAGGCTCTTGGCACTGTGTCTGATGGAGCAGAAGGTCTGTGCTGAACCTCGCTTGTAGGCAATCCTGTGTGCTACTGCTCTCTACTTGTGGGAACTGCACTCTGTTGTGCAACCAAAACACCTGCCTAAGTGGTCAGCTGGATCCTTCTCATTGCAAGACTCTTCTCTGCTACATAGGGTGGCAGTGTTGGCTGTGCTTTCTGGGAGGACCTATTTTGGGAACAGCCATGCTCCAGGAAGCCGCTGGGACTTACCGGCCCCTGGGAGGATGCCGAGAGCAGATAAAATTGAAACAGCTTGCAAGGAGTTCTGTGGCCCTGCTGAGAACCTGGCTCAGATTATCACCTGGACTCAACTTGGCCTTGTGGAATCTATCTTTGGAAGCAGTGGCGGCAGTGCTGGAGTCAGTGTTGTGCAGCTACGAAGGGTAAGCAACGTGTGTGTTTATTTTAAGATTGCCAACAAGAGCAAAGTCCATCTGACTTCTTTAGTTGGAACATGCAACTGGACCCAAGGGAAGTCAGGCACTGCAGCAGACAATGGAAAGCTGCTAGAGGAAAAAAAAAACCAAAACGTTAGGGTGCTTTTCCACTTTTTTTATTCTATTAGAATTATAGAATGGCTTGGGTTGGAAGGGACATTAAAGATTACAGTTCCAACCCTCCTGCCATGGGCAGGGACACCTTCACCAGGTGTCCAGGTTGCTCAGAGCTCCATCCAGCCTGGCCTTGAACACTTCCAGGGCTGCAGCACCCGCAACTTCTTTGGGCAACCTGTGCCTCACTACCCTCACAGTCAGTATTGTGCTTACCAACTGCAAACATGGATGGCATGGCTAGATAATCTTCTTGCCTGGGAGCAGAAGAGGTTAACCTGGGGAGTTTAGAGGTAGCAGTGTGTCTGAAGCCTTAGTTACATGGCTTGACTCCCTAATCCATTGCTGTTAGAAGTTTTTTTTGGTTAGTTTGTTTGCTTTTCAGCAGAAATTTATCACTTTATTTACACAGGTATGTTAAAATATTATTTTGTTTAATTTTAAACAAACAAACCCAAAAATACTTCCCCTCGCAAAAAAGAAAAAAAGGAACCTCCAAACCCTAAAACTAAAAATCCCTGGGTTTTTTTCAGTTGCTTGTTAT